TTATGTCTGTTGATATGCCTATACATCAAGAAGTATATAAACAACGGTTGTAATCTGCATCATAATCTTCGCCTTATTATTTATATTCTGCAGGTAGTAACTGCGTTTGGGCGACTGTCCAGTGCAGCGAACCTGGGTGCGGTGAATGAGAGTGTGACGCAATTTGTGTGCATTGTCTTGGGGCCATCGCACGACCTAAAGGAGACCAAAGGCGCATGGGAAAACGCTCGCAACTTTGCGTCACTGCTGAGGTAAGTATAGTATCAGTTGTGTTATACAACTCCAAACAGTCAAGTGCTTCGTGGTACAAGGTTGATGTTCGTGTGCGAATACTCGGAAGAAGAAAGCGGCGACACAATTACCGTGTACGAGTGCTTGTTCGGGAACTTGTCGGTGGTTGTATATCCACATTGCTAGATATTTAATTGACATCGCGTACTCTGATTGGTAGCTTCAACGAACTATCGAGTCTCGCATACAACGAATGGCCTCTGCCCACCTAGCCTCCGCCCACCTAGCCTCTGCCTACCTAGCATATGACCACCTAGCCTCTGCCCACCTTTAGGTATTCGATCGCCTGGCGGAGATCGGACGAGACTTAGATTTGCTACTAAAATTATAAACTCGCAAGACTTTAAAGAAAAATCTTTATTCCTATAACTAGAGTTATACTCTCATAGGACTTCAAGTAAAACCCTAAACCCTACAACCAGAGTTATAGTCTCTCAGGACTTAAAGTTATCACGCTTCTCCTACGTGACGCGTGATCTCGCGTAGGCGACGCGTGACATCGCACCATCGTCTCTATCCTCCGCTGATATGTATAGTAGACCACACCCTTTCTCTTTACATGCCTGTATCTAAATACACCACGCACCATCGTCCCTATCCTCCGCTGATATGTATAGTAGACCACACCCTTTCGCTTCACATGCCTGTATCTAAATACACCACGCAACATCGTCCCTATCCTCCGCTGATATGTATAGTAGACCACACCCTTTCTCTTCACATGCCTGTATCTAAATACACCACGCACCATCGTCCCTATCCTCCGCTGATATGTATCGTAGACCACACCCTATCTCTTCACATGCCTGTATCTAAATACACCACGCACCATCGTCCGCCCCACTAGTAATGAGACCTTCTTCGCATCGGCGCTGGATGCAACGGACGCAAAAGACATCCAGGAAGGCGTGAAAGCGTTTGTGGAGCAGAACAAGGAGGTGAAACGTCGTCGGGTAGGTCCATAGTAACATTTGATTGAGTAACATTTGATGCGTGCGAGTTAGCAGTAGAACAATGATATCTATGGCACTAGCGTGAGTGAGGTGATGTGCTTAGTAGTACCGAACTTCAAAGTGCGTCTACGCTTGTTTTCTGGTTGCAAAGGGACCGCCCCGGCAAAACGCACCATTTGTATCATTGCAGTGGGAGTTGGTAGTGTCGTACCCTCAGAGAATGAAAATGAGAATGAGAATGAGATGCGCCTCAGAAAGTGGTTGGTGCACTGATTTGCATGTTGCTGATTGTATTGTCTCATTTGCATGTTGTTGGTTGTACTGTCTCATTTGTATGTTGTTGGTTCTATTGCAGCGTAGTGCCGGTGGAGAGGAACCAGGTGAGATCGACCCGATGTTGGTTAAGACAGGCAAGTTCGGGGGAGGATTGCTTGCCGATATCAAGCGGAAACTGCCCTGGTACGATGGTATCTTTATGTTTATGTTCTTTCCTTGGACGTGCACGTCCTTCTATATGTACGCATGCCCAAGGGTATGTTAAGGTATATGCCTACTCGCAGTCATCTAAACTAACCACTCACCACGCACTTATAGTGCATATGTACAGACACCTCACCGAAAGGCCGGCCGGGTAGTGGTAATGCATGGTACGACCTTATCAGCCGCACCACTTACCACCCACACACCAATACCGGTCTCTTCACTGACATCAGTAGTCAGACATTCATACACACACACGTCGCATCAAAGCTCAGCTACAACCCCAGTCACACACATATCAACCCACCCCCAGGCATTCATTCGAGCTCTATCCTCACATCACACACGTGCACGCCCATGCCCATGCCCATGCGCACAGGTATCTCTCCGACTGGACTGACGGGGTGGTGCCATGGAACAATCGTACTATGATCACCTACCTATCGGCCACGGTGTTCATGTACTTCTCGATTATCATGCCCTCCATCTCCTTCGGAGCCTTGAACGATACCAACACCGACGGCAAGATAGGCGTTATGGAGACGCTGTTCTCACAGGCTATCTGTGGGGCTGTGTTTGCACTGACAGCGGGACAGCCACTCACAATCATCATGACCACCGGACCACTTACCATCTATACCCAGGTGTGTGCATGCATCATTGTATGTGTGCATGTGTCATTGTTTGTGTGCATGCGTTGTTGTTTGTGTGCATGCGTCATTGTATGTGTGCATGCGTCATTGTATGTGTGCATGCGTCATTGTATGTGTGCATGCGTCATTGTATGTGTGCGTGTGTCATTGTATGTGTGCATGCGTCATTGT